TCTCTTGTACACTTACATGAACTGCTAGTACTGTGAAAAGAGAGGTTTAGCATACAAGAGAAGAGAAAAATGACTTTTCTGTAAGTGGTTTCCAAGGCCAACCTGGCTTCTACCACAGAGAGCATAATAGGCATAAATATATGCAGATGCTTCTGTGATGACTGATAAGAAAGAGCAGCAGGACATCTGAAGCAGCAGTATGACAGTGTACAGAATGAAGAGGTGGAAAAGGCAAGGACTGCAGAAAGGACCTTGAAAGATCACCTATTCTGAATAGAAAGTAAATTTAGTTATTCACTGTCCAGCCCACAATGCTGCGTCAATATTCCTGGCTTTCCTCTTGTGACCACCAAAACAGATGCAGTAGAAAATGGTGAATAAAATGGAGAACACAGTAAGTTAAGATTCTATTTTTTAAAAATGTGTTAGTGATTTTGAATTTGTGACCAAAGAAAGCATAGCCCTCAGGAAACTCCAGACACTTGCACTTAGGCTTACTGTGAGTTGCTGGACGAGTTATTTATCCTCTCACAAGCACACCGTATTGTGAGAAGAACCCTATTTGATTATGGCAAAGGTGCATCTCGCCCATCAACTTTCTTCCAGGAAGCCACCAGCAGGGCTCCAAAGCATTGGTTCTCTTCTTGTTTTCCAGCAGAGAGTATTCAGTAGCAAGTTTTTTTGACCTCGTAGGCTCTAAACAATCCACCCAAGATACTGGCTAGTACTGTATCTCATGATAGTTAGTTGGCTGTAATTCATTGTATGCTGCCCCTAGAAAGTGCCATGATAGATGGGGGTGGGCACCTCACCCTAATGCTTTGCATTGAGGAAGGATGACTTAGAGTGTGGCATTAAGGAGTGAGATAGCTTTAGTGACCCTGGAAGTGCTTGCCGTGTGGCTGCTAAAGGAGCAAGGCTGGAGCAGTGAAGGGAAATGAGGAGACTGGTCCACCCCAGGCAGAATCATTTCTTGTGCTGGCCATGGTTGTGTGAAGAAATCAACCTTTTTATCAGTGACCTGGAGGAAGGGATAACCTTCTGACTAAAGTGCTGACTAAATTTGCAGATGATACCAAAGTAGGGGTGGTGGCCACAACTGAGGAGCAGGTGATTCAAATCCAGAAGGATCTGGGCAGGCTGTGGAAGTGGGCGGGGGACAACAGGATGGCATTCAGTGCGAATAAGTGCAAGGTTTTGCACCTGGAACACATAAATAGGTGTCACAGGTACAGGATGGGGGACAAGTGGCTGAAGAGCAGCACTTGTGAAAGGGATCGTGGGGTACTGACAGCAGACTGAACATGAGCCAGCAATGTGACGCGGTGGTTAAGAAGGCAAATGCTGCCCTTGAGTGTATATCCAGGAGCATGGCTTCCAGGTCTAGGGAGGAGTTGATACTGTTCTACACAACTCTGGTGTGTCCACAACTGAAGTACTGCGTCCAGTTTTGGGATCCATGTTACAGGAAAGATATAACTAGGTTAGAATAAGTTGAGCACTTGGTAACAAGAATGGTAGCCAGATTGGGAAGGATGACATATGAGGTGAGATTGAGGGAACTGGGTCTTTTCAGCCTGGCGAAGAGGAGACTGCGAGAAGATCTTTTAGCGACATATATGTATGTGAGGGGATGTCATGTGGAGGAGGGCCGTGACCTGTTCTTCCCTGCAGGGGAGGGCAGGATGTGTTCCAATGGGGCAAAGCTCAAGGAACCAGGCTTCAGATTAGGATCCCTAGGATATGGAATGGGCTTCCAAGCGAGGTGGTTGAGGTCCCATCAGTGAGTGTGTTCAAGGAAAGATTGGACAACCACATGTTGGGGATTACATGAGCAGATCCAGTTGGAGCTAAGAGTCAGACTAGATGGCCTGGGAAGCCCCTTCTGACTTGCTTTGTTTCAAGCCCTTCTTGTCTGTTTTGAATCTATTGCTAGTTCATGACCTTGAATGACTCCAATTTAGTATCATGTATGACAGTGGAAAAGTTATTTCTCACCTCTTCCTCTGCACGGTACACAACATTTATAAACCTCCCTCAAGCCTCTCATTCATCTTTTTTCTAAACGTCTATTCTTAAACTACTTACTGAGCATCATGTGCGTATTTACTCAGAACCAAGCCCCATTGTGTCCAGCGAGTCCTAATCTTTGGCAGCAGCACATAGGATTGCAGCAGATTTTTTTTAAAACAAACCAGTAGCAACCTAGAAAGGCTGATCCACAAAAACCTCAGCTTAAGCTGAATGAATTTGACTGAATTGTAAAGGGACTGTTGGAATAAATCCAAGAAAAACTGACAGGATTAATATGCAAAATATTTGTACCATTTAGGAAATCATTCTTAAAATATCAATCCTGTGAGTTTCCTTAAAACTATTTATATAATAGTACTTGACATCATATGAGCTGAGATCTCAAACTTGTCCTAAGTTTGTTCTAGCCCCAAATGGTAGCCTGTGAAATGCAGCTGCCATTAACTTTTCACATGTTACTGAAGCAAGAATAATAGATGACATCATTCCTAGAAATGAAAGGCAGCAACTTAGACCAGTGCTTGCACCCAACTTTTTTTTATCAGGTCATCCAAGTCTGCCCATCAGCCAGTAAGAGAGACCTGTCATTGATTTCACTAGCACAGAATTACTGTGCTCAGCGGGCAGTACAGCTCTGTATGATGTGATTGCATCATAGTTGATAGTTGGTGACACACAACAAAACAATGATTGTGTTGACTCAAAATCTGGTCCTGACTGATGACTTGAGGATGCAAGTACTTACTCTGTTTCCTGAACAGATAAATTTTTATTTCCATCTTTTGAAATTGTTCTGGTTTTTAATATTCCCTTGACAGTTTCATTATGCCTTTATATAATTCTAGTTTTTATGATTTGGACTAACTTTAAACTGCCTGGATTGGTCTAAAAAGGCAGTACAGAAATACAATACAATAAATCAATAAATATACTATCATAAGAAAAATATTAAATACTACTATGTTGCTGCCATCAAAGTACAATACAATAAAATACTAAATATAAAGTACAACATACAATGATGATTGAGCTTTTCACAAACGTTTTCTTTTTCTTTTTTAAAGACACATTTGTACAAGTTGTGACCTTTCTCCAACATATTTCATAGCCTCTGCCAGCTGTTCCTGCTCAGCCGCTGTGATTCTGAGGAAACACATTTGTTTCTTGAGAACCAGATGCTTACTCTGTTGGGTGTGCATTTACAAGTGTTAACACAAAGTTCACCTACCAGGCAAGATGGCCAGTTCCAACAACAACACAAGCATTTCCTTTTAATCCTAAATTGTCATGAACAGGCCTGCCTGCTAGTCACTGTGGCTAGAGTGGTCCAGGCTGGCTCCTATTGCCAGCAAGAATAACTATTCAGTTCCAGCTTGGTAATGTAGTATGATTTCTGACTGTGGATTGTCAGAGTAAAGAATGGTCAGATCTCACTGCTTAGCCAACTCCCACTGGCAGCAGGAGCAGTTGAGAATGGTAATTAGCATGCTGGCTTGTTTACAGCAACCCAGGGTTTAAGATAAACTTGAGTTGTTGTTATGTGCAAAAAGGCAATACATAAGAGATGCTATGCTGTTTGTGGCACATTTGCTAGCATAGCTTTTGAGCGTGTTTTAATTAACCAACAGTGTAATCCAATGTATCTACCTGTGACTCTTTGAACTCAGAGGATTATGGGGATCCAGTGTATTGGGAGCTAATTTCTCCCCCTTAAACTCTCACCTTTGTACTTCCCAGAAGATCAAGCTAAGATGCTTCTTACTACAGTATTTTTTTAAATATATTCAAGTGGACTAGCCAGGACTGGCTGTATGATGCAAAGAGGGCAATGTGGAGGTCATTAGCAAGAAACATCATCAAATTAATGCACCACATTTGTGAATGTTGCAACCCTCTATACACTTATTTGGTAGTTAATTTCATTGGACTCAGTGGCCACATTCACACCACACAGTAACCCACCATATGCACAGCTAGCTCAACAGACAATCAGGCTGACTGTGGGTACCTCGCTTTCTCCTACAACCCTCCTTCCTCCTTGTTTTTCCAGGTGGAATGTTAAGGAATGCTGTGGGGAGAAACACGACTTCTTTCTCTGATAGTAGACAGTCAGAAACAATCAGAAACTCTCTGTTGTGTAAACAGCTCAACACTTCCTTTGTGACATGGTATCAGTTGGATGACATGGCAGTCATCTGACAGTGAAAGCAAACCATGGTGGATTGGCATGTTGTCCAAACCAGGTCAACACTTATTTCTGAGATAAGAAATGCAGAAATATTCAGCCATTCAGATAAGAAATGCATAACCAATGCAGAAATATTCAGCCATTTTTTGTCCTCCTTGGAAATATATTTTGTTAATAATAGAACAGTTAATACAGCTTCATGCGTATTAAATATGCAAACAAAACAGTTCTAAATATTCAACAATTTTACTGCCTACACTGTTAATTTATTTTAATTTCAATCCACTTAATTTTAACATTAATATTTAAATGTATTTAATTTCCTTTTCCTTGAACTTTTAGGAGGTGCATGTCGCCACCGCTCAGAGATGGTGTGTACAAACTCATGAACATTCTTCTCTTCAGGTTTGCCAACAACTGAAGAGTCAGTCCCCAGTATGACCTACTTCAGAGGCAGTCCACTCAAAGAATGCTGTTTTTTAGAATTAAAGCCTAGACCACAATCCAGCCAGCTATGTAGCAACCTGCATGCTATGTAAGCTGAATGTTTGGTGCAAGCCTGTTCTTTTGCCTGCACAATGCTCCCTCATAAGCCACTTCAGAAAATAATTTGAAAACTTGGCTTTAGAATTGCTCCATATTTTAATCTGTTATTCTAGCATTAGTCTTTGCAATTAGTTAAAGTTTAAATGTGTTTAATTGAAAGTGACTTTTCTTAAATATTATATTAAAATATTTTATTTGCCTACTCCCTTTTATCTCCTCTCACCCCTGACAGGAAGGAGAAACTGCTAAGGTGTTCTCAGTGCAAAGTTGCAAGATACTGTGATGCATATTGTCAGGTAAGCATTATTTTGAAGTGAGCTACAACTGGTTAATATAAATAGCATAACCTTTCCCCCCTTCATCTTCTCTGTAACAGCTTTGGAATCAGTTGTCATGGTGAGCATATAGTTAAATATTGACTATCTGCAATACTTGAATATTTTTCAAGGTCTAAATGGCATGTAAACATTTTGAATTTTTCATTTTGAATCTTCTAGCTCCTTTTGAATTCACTGTGCAAAGACAAAATAATATTCAGCTCAGTTTTATTTGTGAAGATCACTTGTACCCAATTTTCCCCTGGGGTGTTGTTGTAATTTGAAACTGGTCAGTTAAATGTTAATATTTTCAATGGGGAGGGCAAGCCTTGCTTTCCTCCCTTAGATACTATGCACTTAAATGATACCTGTAAAAATAGGATTGAGGGTTTCCAAGGGGCAAGAGAATATTCTCAGAAGAGCCCTGCTGGATCATACAAAAGGCCTATGCCATCCAGCATCCAGTTTCCTACTGTGGCTAGCTCTTTCCGTCATCATCGTCCTCACCCTCGCCCTCTTGGGTAGCTCGCAAGCATAACATGAGCACAGTAGCGGTCTCTTGCAGCTGTCACCCAGTAATTGCTTTTTGTAGGCATGATGACTCTGAATTCTGCAGATCGCATGTGGCTTTCACGAACAGTAGCCATTGGTAGCCCTATCTGCCTTATCCACGTTTTAAGTGAAATTGATGCTTCAGATCTTGTGGCAGTGAATTTCACAGTTCACGTTTTGTCTCTCCTGACTCTCCTACTATTCTTTATCATTGGTGGAGCCTGGGTTGTTAATGAGGGAGGAAGAAAAGCCCCTATAATGTCCCCTCTACCTGCAGTAATTTTATGAACTTATGTCATGCTTGCCCTCTGTGTTTCTGCACTTTTTTCGCAAGCTGAAAATCCCACACATTGTAACCCTTCTGCTCAGGAATTTTCTGCAGCACACCTCGTCATCTTGGTTGCTTTCTCTGTCTGTTCCTGTGCTAAATCATATGTAACCAACAATTTATTTAAACCAACGACATAGCCAATGTTGTTTGGCTTGTGCTTACATTTCTTTTTTACATTTCTGAATTATCAGAAACAGTTGTAACTAGAGATAAAAGCTGGGTGAAATAAATTAGTTCTAAAGTTTAAATAAATGCTATGTCAATTACTTTTATACTATAAACAAGGAGCTGCTTTTTTGCATTTTGATGTAATAAATGTAAACTCCTCTGCAGAGACTATGAAACAAATTATATAATTTTACCCAGAATGAGAGTTAAGATAACAAGAAGTTTACAAATTTATATTTTTAAAAGCAATACCTAAAGATGATGGTGAAGTATCCTAGATTAACTGTTTCAAGAGTTTCAGCATACATGTTCTTTAGGCCTTTTGGTGTCCTTAATTCTGTATCTTAGGTTGCTTCCACATTATCATCCTTTTGTGCTTCTGAAACATTGGTTTTCTATAGTCAGTTGGAGACAGAATGAAAGGATGGTTCCATGTGACACTTAACTTAGTGCTATATTATACAGTAATTCTCATCCCCATGACCAAGATCCTCTAAAAATGTTTATTCAACAGTAAGTATCCACTATTCAGTGAAGATCACCTATATATTTAATTAAATGATTCTTCTTTTCATTGACAGGGATTACATTTCTATATCATCCAATAGCAAGAGACTAAAAATCTTAATCATATTATGTAATAATGCATAGTATAAAATACATTTACATACAAACATGTAAACAGTCAGTGCATGCACACACATACTATTTTAAAGAACAAGAGGGGAAAATACAGGAAATAGCCTGACAATGCAGTGCCAAAAAGATGACAGTGTTGGTGCCAGACAGGCCTTACTGAGGAGATGGTTCCATAACTGAGAGGCCACTACTAAGAAGGCCCTCTTTCTTGCTGCCACTTTTCCAAACCTGCCTTGGAGGAGGCACTTGGAGGAGGGCCTTCGGTGATTGATGTGGCATAGTGCTAGGCTCGTGCCAAAGGAGGTACTCTGTAGTCCTGTGGTCCTGAGCCGTGGAAGGCTGTATAGGTAAAAACAGGTTTATAGACATACAGCCAGCCAGTGCAAACAGGCCAGCTTGATGCTATATATTCAGAGCTTTCTCCCTTTTATCAGGCTGGCTGCTGCATTTTGCTTGAGGTACAGTGTCTGAGCCATTTCAGAGGCAGTGCCATTGTAGTAACCCAACCTGAAGGATACCTGAGCATGGACACTTGGTTCATAGGCTTCGAACCACTAGCCTCAGGTTCTGAATTAGGAACTTGGTTCAGTTCCTCAGACAGCCACATCAGCCACAAAGCTGGTCTGACAAAAATAGGATAATGTAGAAAACATTGAAACATGATAGGATTAGAATAACGATACCTGGATTTTCCATAAAATAGTGTAGAACACAACTTGTTCTGATATATGGAACAGTAAGACCCAGTTAAATGTCTTGTCTATGCTAGCTTAGAAATGGTTTTTTCCCCCCTGTTGATTGGACCTGAAAAAGATTACCCGTTACCATCAATGTGAATTACATTGTATACAGTTCTTACTGTCACTTGTTATTTTTGCCATGTGTGGGTGGCCTTTTGTCTGAGGAAAGAGATAGGAGAGTGTGCGAAGTGGTCTTATTCCCTACTGAGCTGGAAGGAAGCCTGAAACTTTTTGTGGCTGGGGTGGTGGTTCAAGTAATTGCTTGAAGAATGGGATACTTAGTATGCTTTCAAAATATACTTCATTTGCTTGATACTGTATTTTCAGCTTAGCTGCTGCATTACTTTGCATCATTTCATAGTGTTTGACTTAGAATCTAAGAGGTCAAAGTTAATTTAAATCTAATCTAAGATTTAGATTAACAGTCCTATTGTTCCTCCTGGGATATACCCAGATAATTTAAACTGCTTCAGATTTTCCTCCACTTATGAAAAAGAAACCAAATGCATTGATACAAGATGGGGAATATGTGGCTCAACAAAACTGAAAAAGAAAAAGATCTTGGAGTAATTGTGGACAATGGGCTAAACATGAGCCAACAATGAGATGCAGCCACCAACAGGGCAAATACTATTTTTGGATGCATTAACAGAAGTATTACTTCCAAATCATGAGAAGTAGTAGTTCCCCTATATTCCTCACTAGTCAGACCTCATCTGGAATACTGTGTCTAGTTCTGGGCACTAAGATTTAAGAAAGATACAGGAAAATTAGAAAGGGTCCAGAGGAGGGCAACAAGAATGATCCAGGGTTTGGAAGCACTGCCCTATGAGGAATGACTGAGAGAACTGGGCATGTTCAGCCTTGAGAAGAGAAGAGAAGAGAAGAGAAGAGAAGAGAAGAGAAGAGAAGAGAAGAGTGAGGGGGGTTGGAAGCTATATCCCTCTATAAGTACCTCAAAGGCTGTCACAAAGAGGAAGGTCAAGATCTCTTCTTGCTGATACCACAGTGCAGAACATGGAATAATCAAGTCAAGCTATGACAATCCAGATTCAGGCTAGATATCAAGCAAAGCTTCCTCACTTTCATAGCATTAGACAGTGGAACCAGCTACCTAGAGAGGTGGTGGGGTCTCCCACACTAGAGGCATTCAAAAAGAAACTGGACAGCCATCTGAGTGGGATGGTGTAACTCGGTGTCCTGCAACAGCAGGGGGTTGAACCTGATGGCCTTCATGGCCCGTTCCAACTCTACTATTCTATGATTCTATGATTCTAGGTGCTCAAAATGGCTCTGCCCTGCCCTTTAGAATATACAGGCAAGTGAAGAACATGTGAAAAACTTGTATGTTTACATTTTTCATAGATCTCTGTTCACATTTTTGGAATTTTTATCTTCAGAGCTCTGACACTGTATTTCAGTGTCTTTTGCAAAGCAATTACAAAAGAAGAGAAATTACAACTAGGCGTTTTTAAAACCACTGGTTATAATAAATGTAAAACAAAACACCTTCTTAGCAAATACAAGCAGCTGTAAAGCACTAGGGAAACTACTGTCCAGCCTAAGTAGAATGGCCGGGTCAGATATATATACCCAGCTGTTATTAGAAGAGCAGCAGGTGCAGAGGTCCTGGTGCCTAATTTAGGAAGGGTTGTACCCAATTCTATGATGCACATATTCACCCTTTGAATGTGTTCAATTTGGCAGAGATCATAAAACTGTGAGGGCAATGCCTTTCTAATGCGAAAATGCATCACTAAGCTCAGAGAAACAAAACACACAATCTTGTATGAGGTTGTGTATTTCATTTCATCACCCTTTTACCAGCTAGATAAACTGTTGAACATTTTGATGTCTCTTCTGTCATATTTTAGAATCCTTTCTAGCATGTCTTTTAGGAACAAAGCTTGTCATATGAGTCTGGCTTCAAAGAAGATTTTTAGTTGACTAAGGAGAAACATGCCAGAACAACTGCATTACACAGAATGATAGCCTAATGATTATAGACATGACTTTTTCTTTAGGGTAAAGGAAAATGGCTTAATTTAACATTCATTTGCTGGATTCTTTGTTTTACAGATATATTCAGGTGAGGGGGAGCTGATGTTGGGGCAGTTTTGGTTTTGCCAAAAACAATTTTTTTCACACCAAAAGTATTAATCAGTGAAGGTTTGGCACAGCCCTTGTTATAGCCTGTTTTAAGAAACAAAGAAAACTAAAATCACAGTTACATTATTTTGTTTGCCTCCCATGAATGCATTCATGTATATACACTTTATAGCAACAGAAAGCAGTCTTATTTAAATCTGAAGCAAACAGATATAGATGCATGTAAATTTACATATTATTAATAAAAGAATAAGGGGGTCATATTTAACTAATAATAAGTTTATGTTGACAGATTTTATTAATACTGTAAAGAAAAATAATTATAAAATAGCAAATTTCAAACCAACTTCTATTTTTCCCACATTTTAAAAAGAGTTACTTGTTTTTGGGGGGTTTGTCTTTCTGTCTACTTATCTAGTTAGGTTATTGAGAAACATTTTTGTATATTTGGATAACTATGATTAGTTTCACAGAAATAAACAAGACTTACCAAGTTTTTAGGGAATAAATTCCACATTTGTCTCTTTCAATTTAGCATAGTATATTCAATATGCCCCTGTTGTAAAATCCCACATCTAACCATTTTTTTAACTCCCCAAGTTTTTACTGTATAGGAACTGCAGTGATCATAAAAGAAATTACTTTCCTATAATGCTGGTAAACAGCTCTGTATAAAACATAAAGGCCAGGGGATCAAGTGAATTTCATTATCTGGAATTTCTCTCTTGTTTTATTTATCATTTTCCAGTATTATTATTATTGCTTTTATCTCTGCTACCTAAGGGAGTTCCCACCAAGTACAGCAGTAACTTCCATGTTTCTGACAAACAACATAATTTTAGATTATCATTGCATATCACAGAAATGCAACTGTTTTTAGCACATTCCTTTGTTGTTACAGATTACAGTGTATTAGCATCCCGAAATCCCATGTTGTATCTACTGCTTCTGGTTTTGCCCTGCCTGCATGTAGACCTTAAATCAAAATGTTGGCATAGCAGCAACAGCAACAACACCTGGGAAATAATTGATTAAAACAAGCCTACTTCAAACCATGATTTATAAAGCTGGCTTGTTTAATTTAACAAATAACCACAGTTATTATTTCTTGAAATAAGGAATGGCTTTCAATCCAATATCTGCATGTGAAAACTTATTACAGTTCAAAAGCATCTCCAAAAGCATGCAAAGTCAACCATATTGAGGTTATGGTAATATTAAAATTTATTTAAATCTAAAAGACAGCAGGTTGATCAGCTATACCACTTAATAGTGAACACCTATTATAAAAAACAAAGTTGTAAAAATATACAGGTACTTCATTAGCAATTTTTTCCAGGACCACATGTCCCTGAATACAACTAGGTTGCTAAATTATCTGCAACCTGACACCTTTTCATTAATACCTGATTCATTTTTATTATACTTCAAAATATTTTGGTACTATATATAAAAGGTTTGGAAGGCAGACTCCTTACTTTTTCTGTTCTGTACCAACTTATAGAAAAAAGAATGGCAGGACCACAAACGGGAATGCAGGTGCATTAAGGATAGTGAGCCTAACTTTCCACCAGACTCAGTGAGACTTGTTGGCAGAATCATCTTCAAACGAGTAAGTAAACAATCCGTCTGTGACTGATCTTTTGCAAATATGTCAAACCAGACTCTGTTAATGTGGAGGCAAGTGTCACAAAGTGTTCCAGCCATGCCTGATAAAACTCTTGTAGGGAAGAAGCTTGAATATTGTACATGGCTCACCATATTTTTTGTCTGATAAAGAAAAGTCCTTCTAAATTCAGAAGAGTTTTATATTCAAGAAGCAATACAAATCACTAAGAAAACTTCATTAGAATGTGAGATTAAAAACCCTCGAAACATGGGAAAATAATTCAAAAGTACAGATATACTACACTTGTCTTAAAACTATTGTATCCAATATTTTCTGTAATTAGTGTCCCTATTATCAACAATGTCATGTAACTTGTCCTGTAATTATTTTGTTCAAAGTTGGTAAACATTTTCTAGAGCAGTTTTCTTCAAACTGGTACCTTCCAGATGTTTGTGCCTACCACTTGCAGCACTTTGAGAAGTGATGGTTCCAGGGGAGCCTGCTACTTTATTTATTCTGTTATGAACCACTTGGGCATCAACTAACAATACCACTTTTGCATAGCTTGACTTTTGAACTGCAGGCAATGCTTTTTGGGATTTCATAGTTTTGCTCAGTTATCAATTCAGATGGAGACTGCAGCCAAGAAATTCAAAGAAGACGGAGACTTGGAAGGGCAGCAATGAAGGCACTAGAAAAGTCGTCAAGGATATGGATGCTTCACTGGAGACCAAGGCCAAGATCATGTATTCCCAATCACTATATGGGAATGAAAGCTGGGTGGTAAAGAAAGTGGACAGGAAGAAAATAGATGCATTGGAAACATGGCATAGGAGGAGAGCTTTGCTAATTCCCTGTACTGACGGAAAGATGAGCAAGTGGGTCCCAAATCAAATCAAGCCAAAACTTGCTCTGGAAACAAAAATGATAAAACTAGAGCTGTCATACTTCAGGCACATAACAAGAAGGCAAGATTCAGCAGAGAAGACGATCATGCAGGGAAGCTGAAGGAAGAAAACAAGATGGATCAAATCCACAATCTTATTTACAAGAACTGAGTCAGGCTGTGAAGGGCAGGGCCCTTTGAAGGGCACTGAGTCATAGAGTCGCCTTAAGTCAGAGCTGACTTGGTGGGACATAGCAGCAACAACTGCAAGTAGAAATATGGTCAGCTGTGTGCACAGCCTAGCCCTCATGATGCTGGTATGAGGGGGCACTGTTGTGAGTAGCTCCAAGGAATATTTCCTGAAGGTTTTCTTTTCTCCCTTCATTAAAGAGGCTTCCATTCTTTTGCTTCATTCCTAGGGTGTTTTATAATTTGCATTTGTGAAGTTTTTGAGCTTACCTATTCACTGGGAAGCAGCCAAGGGTGCTCTCTTTGTGTGTGCATTTGATTAGATTCCTCTCCGTTACTCAGCACTCTCCTAGGTTGAAATAGCCTTGTAGGAGGACTTACATCTTCCCCTTGCCTTTAACTGAAGAGTGGGAGTTGAATTTCTTCTTGAAAGCAATTTATTTTCTATCAAATTGAATGAGAATGATAGAAAAGTGGGGGAAGACATTTTAAGCACAGCAAAAAATATAGCCCATACTTTCTCAGCCACAGTTCTGCCTTCTTTAATATAGGTATAATCTTCATTTATAGTATTGTACAGACTCCGCACAAATGATAAAAAAGAACTGATCTAGAAAGATCACAAACCAGATGGATAAACAATTGAAGATAATGGAATTTTCAAACTGAAGCAAAAATTTTACAAATGGAATTTCTCCTAACATAAAAATATCATTGTTACAATTAGATATAATAAAAACATGAAGGTACAGTCTCACAAAAATAAGCTTGCCTACCCATCAAATATGGATGTTAATTTCAGGGTAGCAGGTTTTTCTTCTTGAAGGTTCTGTGGTTTCTTTAGCCAAAGTCACATGTGCAAAGATGCAGGCTAGCTGGGGTTTTGTGGTTATGTGGGGCCAAGCAAGACAGAAGAGTTACTTAAGGTAGCTACTAACGATGCCAGCTAATGGCAAAGCACAGCTTAATTAACTCTTAAATTGCAACCCACAGTCCACTCTAGCAACCCCTTTCCCTTTTTCTGTTAGGTGCTTTTGAGGACTGCTTCCAACAGGGGTATGTAATGTTGTTGAACAAATAATTATGCTTTTAATAAAACAAATGAGAATAAAGACTAGGAAGTAAAATAAATGAGAGGCAATGTAAAGTAATAGGATTCACATGCTAACAAAGTAAACAAGAATGAACTTAAGTGATTATTATTATTTATTTTGATAAATACTTTTCATGTTGATAATAAATCAATTTTAAAATGGAGTTAATAGTTTATCCTAGCATACTTTTATTCATTAATATCTTTGTGTACCCAACAGTTAAGAAAGTCAACTTGCCCGTCAGAGGCGCTCTACTCTCTTTCTGATCTCCAGTCAAGTAAGTAGCTATTAGCAGACTAAGAGCAGTTAATTGTAGACTAGAATGGTTATTTGAATTAAAAACGATATCTCCTGCTTCCTGTCCTGTACCAGCAGTCTTTATTGAGGATCACAGATGGTAGAAAAGGGGCTCATTGGTACTTTAAGCATAACATGTGAGAATAGACTATTTATAGTTGCATTCTTTGCAGTGTTTCATCTTCCAGACTACCAGGGAACGGAACCATGTTTATTTCTAAACCCCAGAAAATTAAAACAATTCATTTACTTGATTTCATTTTACTTCTTACCTCCTTTAGCTTCAGTATGAAATGGAAAACTAAGCTTCTGATCACTTGCCATGAAAACTCCCATGGGGCAGTTTTCCTTGACAATGGCTAATTTTGACATCCTGGCGAAATTCCAGTTCAGATAATTGTGTTCTGTTTTTGATTCTCTAAGTTCTCCCCAAAGTTTTAGGTGGATATAGTATTCTGTTTTGCATCTGTCCTGAGCTGAAATGTCCCCCCACAATAGTCTGAAGCAGTTGCTGCCTTCCATCCCAGAGGTGGTTTCGTTGCAGCAATGGGTGAAGTTAGTACTGTCTGCATGTCTCTGAAATGAATTAATAAATTCTGTAATGTGCATTATGCTCCTGTGGGCTAAATAGCTCTTTATAATGTTGTGCTTTTAAAATGCAAAGCTGGTAGGAAACAGGACCTTAGGGTCATTTCCAGGAGAAAGCAGGAATGTATGCACTAGTATAGTGCCATTACCTTCCCCTGGGGATGTATAGTCCAAACTACTTTCTTATCTCCCAAAGACAATGAATGGAGTAGGGAGGGGGATGGCAGGAGGATAAAAAAACCTTTCCTCCCACCCCTTCAGCAAGGCCCTCTGCTGTTTTAGTGCTGTAGAATACTCTGCTGTCATTGCTTAGTGCCTGAGATCTTTGGAATTAGCCTGAAATGGTGGGTCTGCTCAAGGCTTGACCAGGAACATGTCCACTGTGGTTTTCTAGGCTCAGTAGAACCTGGTCCACAGCTGTTAGGGAGATGGTAGAGCGGTGTGAATCCCTATCCAGCCCTGCTGCTCTGCACGCCGCAACCATGTGAAGAACTTGCAGTAAGCAACTGAATGGGAGTATAGAAGGTTCAGATATGCCGAATCCTGCCCAGCATATCCACTTATGAGCTTACTTCTGGAGGCAAGCCTGGAGCTATGGGATAGAGCAGTAGGTCCATCACCATCACTGTTTAAGTGGCCATGTTGGAGGTGACCATAAATCTGTCCCTTTTTTTTCAGGGTATGCATTTTAAATGCAAGACCAGTAGGTAGGAAACAGGATCTTAAACAGTAAGGGAAGTGAAGAATACAGCCTATTGTATACTCTAAAGAATGTCTTTGTTCTTAAATCTCAAACATTAGAGGTGTGTGGCTTGTTGCTAAATTGTTTGCTTCACATTTAACACCCTGCTGTGGAAATAGATGAGAGTGAGAGTAAAAGTCTTTTATTTATGGATGTGAGCCGCCCCGAGGCTTCGGTGAATGGGGCGGCATAGAAGTCTCCTAAATGAATGAATGAATGAATGAATGAAAGAGAGAGAGAGAGAGAGAGAGAGAGAGAGAGAGAGAGAGAGAGAGAGAGATGGATAGAGTGGGTAAAAGGTGCCCTCTTCCTGCTTCTTGTTCCCATGTTTGTTGCATAGAAACTCATAGAGTTTCCTGTCACAGGAAGCTATAGTGGGTGAGTGGAGATTCAAAAACCATAGGCACCCCAGCTTGTGGAAGCATTTCCGTCTAGTGTGAAGCCGCTGTTGGATACAATCTATAGTTTATTTCTTAATACCTGTCCTATCTAGATAAACACATACAAAACATTTGTATTAATTAATATTCATTTGCATATACTTTGTATTTCAGCCTTTCTAATAAGGCATTATCCTTATTATGAACTATAAAGAGATTGTTTTACAAATAATTTCTGAGAGAAGATTGGAATAAAGAAAACAATATATCATCATCTAGCGCTGAGGAAGATAGTTTGCACACAAGCACAATTTTTTCTGTTAACATGTCCATTTGACTCTTCTAGTATTTCGTTTCTCCTTGATCATCTGTGTTGGTTTGAAGCTTTTGATCTTTCATTCACACAAGGTTGTACAATTTGGATGCAACAACAAAATGAAGTGGTATATTTTTGCTCCTCTGTATCTTTGGGGTTGGAAATGTCTAGCTTACAATACTGATACTGGAATGTTTTAAAGATGTTTATAGATATTTCTGTTCATGTCTTCCAATATATTGTCTTCTTTACAGATGTTGAAAAGTTAAGTGAAGAAATGAAAGAAGGCCTTGGACACCTTGCCAAAACACTGCAACTATATTTGAAGGTGGAGATCCAAGAAACTTCTCAGCTGCCTCCTGACCTAGATATCTTGGAGACCTTCGCAAAAGTAAGTGCTGAGCCACATTCTCAACAACTCTGTAATTTTCCTGTTCTTGTTCTTGATTTTTGTGTTTTGAATTTCTTGAGAGCACCATATCAAATCAAAATATATTGCCAAAGTGTCAGATTGATCAGAACATTGTATTTTCCACTTTAGTGATTAAACTAACTCCCTGCCAGGGAATCTTTGTGGTATAATTAAACTGTTTGAATTAAATAATATACATTTAAAATGGGAACTGTGAAAATACAAAATGCTGAAAAATATCTTGAGTTGATTAAAGAAAACATTCTAGCTATCCTATAGATTGCTTCCTAGACAAATGGTCTTATGGTTTATGCATTGGCTTTCTTTCAAAGTCTGTATATTTATGCCAAATATAATCTGTTAGCGGATGCATTTATCTTGTGTATTTTTTCATGTTGATAGATGATGATATGAGGCAGAAGGCATCTGAATATCACAGAATTAGCCATGTCTGGGTATTTTTCTTTTACTTGATAGATCATCTTGTGGTCACCCACTTTTAGCTGTACATAGTTATGAGATGGCTTCATGGAATAGTTCTGGGTTTTCCTTTAATAAAAACCACCAAGTACAAAATGTGTCTTCCTTGAGATAATTTGCCAAGTATTAGCAATTTTAGGATAACTATGTTTGCACAACCCAACAACCCATAATGGGTAACTATTGTGCGTTCTGGACCATCCAGCCCAGACCAATTCCTGCAGATTGGCTTTTTTTTAGCCAAAAATTCTCTCTGACAAACCACAGGTCCATGATGGGTTATAGTGTCATCTGAACTATTCCTGTCCTGAGTTGTGCGCAGTGGTTAGCAAGCTGCTTGGCAAGAGCTGCAAAAAATTCTTGCTGCTTTTCCATGTGACCACCATTGGGGCCCAAGCAGCACTTTCCAGGGACTGTCCCTGGCTTCAGTGAATACATTTTCATATTTTTAATTTTGAATCAATCTTTTGGGGGTTTGCAAGTATGCTCTTTCTCCTTTCTGATATCTGAGCCAATGCCGCGTCAGTCACAGCTATTAAATGGTAACAGAGTAATGAAGCAAGACTGCAGAAAGGCAAATTCCATAGTTTAAGCATACACTATGTGAAGAAGTACTTCCTTTTATCTGTCTTAAACCTCCCTTGAATCTGCTTCATAGGATGACCTTGGGTTTGAGTGTTATCGTAGAAGGAGTAAAATGCTGTACTCTCTACTTTTTCCACGTCTTACATTATTTTAAACACCTCTTTCATGTCTCCCCTTACTTGTCTTTTTTAAAGCTGAACAGTCCCAGTTGTAGCCGCTTTTCATACGGGAGCTGCTTTATTCTGCTGATCATTTCATAATCCCTAAAGTTTTTTTTAGGGTTTTTCTGGGATATGTGAACTTGTTTTCATAAAACAGGGAAATGTACACAGAATGTGTGCCTGGCCTGTAAGTGAGGGAAATATACACTGATGCCATGACCAGGAATTAAACAGAAGCGAACTTCGTGATATATTTCCTTTCCATTCACTTCTCAGCCATGGAATCTGGCAGCTACTCATTGTTTGTGATGCAGCTTATATGTGCTCTTGCCATATTATTATGATACTATTCGGCAGCTGTAACTGAATGATAATAGAAAGACAAAAGACTTAACTCATGCAATTTTGAAATACTGACAACAAAAATGATAGTTTAAATATTATTAAGATATTGGGGCTGAAATAAGTATGACCCCAATGCCATTTTTGAAGAATCTTTAGAATCTCTAGGAACAGCAGAAAATGAAAATGTAGAAACCCTGCTCCTACCCCTGCAAAAGAAGGGATGTGGGAAAAGATTCTGAGTCAGAGGAGGAGGAACTAGAATTGGCAGCTGAAATGTCTAGGCCAGAGCACTCAGAGATAAGCCAGGTAATTGTTAAGAATTATTCCATTTCAAATCTATGGGAATGTTTACTGAGCATGCTAATGAGGAAGTGAGCCAAGCATCATTAATCCAGGATCCAGTGTCTGGTAAAGAGGGAAGACCTGCTAAAATATATCAAATGATTGTCCATTAAACAGGAGAATCTGCCTGGAAGGAGTGTCTTGTTTATTTTAAATTGGAATCAACTTCTTATCATTAGCTTGCCATTCTCTAATGAATGATATTCTAGCTTTGCTTGTTACTGACTTCTGCAATACTCTTCATATGTACTTTAAAGCCAACCTGGCTGGTCAGCATGAATATAATAAAGACTTTTAGTTAGCCAGTTAGTGAGTTTAGTGAGTTAGGTGTGCTTGGAAGGCGTGGGAGAAGAATTGTCAAGATGACAAGATTGCTGGTGTTGGTTGTGAGAGGCACTGACGTATTGTCTGGAAGATGAAGGAGGAAGTTGAGGAAGAATAGGCCATGGTGAGCCTGTTAGTCTGTTGGGTAGACCATGGATTGTTCCTCAAACAACCTACATTGCATAGCTTATTCGCAGGGTGGCTTGTTGTATCATGCAAACAAGCCCCCCACCCCCATCATCATTATTCATTACATTTCTATACCTCACCCTCTGTAGCCAATGTGCTCTGAGTGGTTGACAACATTAAGTCACCTATCCAATTTCAAAGTGTTACATAGAAACAGAGCAAGTCAGAAGGGGTCTCCTGGGCCATCTAGTCTGACCCCCGGCTCTAGCTGGCTCCACTTATGACATGCCTGCCATGGGCATGTCTGTCCTATCCTTGAACACCCTTACTGATGGGGCCTCAACCACCTCCCATTCCACACCCTCGGGGTCCTAACTGTCAGGAAGTGCTTCCTGGCATCTAAATGGAACCTTGGCTCCCTGAGCTTTGCTCCATTGGAGCGCATCCTGCCCTCCTCTGCAGGGGAGAACAGGTCTCTACCCGTCTCCATGTGACATCCCCTCACATACCTGTATGTCGCCAACAGATCCGCTGATGGCTTACATAATCTGCCTGTTCCTTTCCATTTTATCCTCAAAAAACCCTGTGAAGTAAGATAGGCTGAGAGTCAGTGAGTGGCCCAGAGTCATCCGATGTCCTTCTTGCCTGTGTAGGGGTCTGGACACAGATCTCCTGAGGCCCAGTCCAGCTCTTAACATTTGCTAATCAGATGCATTATCATGCCATGATGTTCCTGCCTTACAGACTACTTGATCACATTTTTATTGACATTGGTTTGGGGTGATGTTATGGAGCACTTCCCCTTGCAACTGTAACCAGAGGAAAGTCAGCTGACACATGGTACTCCTTAATTTCAAACTAAAAGGTGAGCTTATCTAAGGGAGTGCATGAAATTTCCTCTCATCTATTATTATTATTATTATTATTATTATTATTATTATTATTATTAT